CCGTATGGAATTTAGTTTTAACTTGAAGTTATTTTTTTAGATAGCCTCACATTTAAATTAATGAAGTGATGTCTTACATTTAATCTAGCAAATTTTGTCTCTCCATTCCGTCCCCAGTAACTGAGTTCTAGTTTTCCATGTGACTTATCATGCTGTTTCACACCTCGACCTTCGGCTCAGGCTGCCCTTTTTAGAATCCCCTTCACATCTGCTCTTTGCACTAGGTCTGTCTTTTAAGACACAGTCTGGTCTTCCCAGCATTCCCGGAGCTATTGGCATGCAGCAAGTCTCTTCTCTCCTTTGTGCCCTTACTGTATCTGTTCACTGCAGGTGTAGAGCTGTTGAATGATACTTTTCTGTGTTGACTGATTTTCATGTGTCTCTGCCTCCCCTAGAATATAGAGCAGAATCTGTCTTTTGTATTTATTGCCAGCTTCTCCCAGGATAATGCCTATGATCTGATGGATACAGTAAATATATGTTGTCTTCCTGACTGATTGATTGAATGACCAAGTGTGGGAATATGATGTTTTCTGATGTTGGGTTTTTGTTACATTGTGTTTTGTTTTTATAGGAAGAGGCAACAAAGCCGAAAACTGGGGGAAAAGAGAACGGCACTGGGACAATTAACGGTGTTCTAAAGGAGAAGGCAGATCAGAGCAAGTTGATTTCTACTGATGGAGATGGAGCACACAAAAGTGACAGAGGTGGGAAGTCAGGGAGCATCTGTGGGCTTTCTTCTCTGCTTAAAAGCTCGTGTGGTTGGAGGGGGGAGGGTATAGCTCAGTGGGAGAGCACACGTTTAGCATGCACGAGGTCCTGGGTTCAGTTCCCGGTACCTCCATTAAAAAAAAAAAAAAGTAGTGTAAAACATCTGAAGTGTGTAGATCCAAATATGATATCCATTTCTTCTTAAGTATTTTTCTTCTGCCATCTTCCTTCATAAATATCCCAACTACGACCAAGTTTTCTTCCAGAAAATGCTTCAACCCTCTGAAATTCTTTTCTGCCACTTTAATTTATTGACATATTCATGAATCGAGATAGACATATATATATTTAAACTTCCCAGTGGTGTGTGTTTTCATTAATGTATCTATGATTGCATTTTGTAGACGCAACTTCAGCTTTAGGATTAGAAGAGAAGGAAGATGTCGAATCATCCCGGGATCCTGAGGTGCTGTCTTCTATTATTATTATTTTCAAATATAAGCATTGCGTGATGTTAAAACATAAATGGAGGGATGTTTTGACTCCACTTTCTCACTTTTGCTTTTGCCCAGCAAAATCTTTTCCTCATTTTAACCCACGCTTAGTAAAGTCATTCCATGCTACATGTCATACCACTGCAGAGTGCACTTCTGTTAATTTTCCAGACTCACCTAGTGAAACTGGTGTATGTAGTGCAAAAGCCAAGGCTTAGAAGTCACAGGGAATCAGTTTGGGTTCTGAAGTTACCTTTTCTAAAAACTAAAGAAAATAATTCTTGGTCAGCCTGTGACCAGATGTTTGTTTCTTTTTTATCCATGAATGTGTAAAACGCTTAATGAGATTCAGAGAGAAACAGGTCGTACTAAAAAAGAAAAACAAAACCCCACCAAAAAACGGTGTTTTTGTTTAACCACTTTGTCCTTGAAAAGACAGTGCCTGTGACTTGAAAGTTCTATTATATTTGGATTTTCAAGTAGATCTGCAATGAACATTTCAGGAGAAGCAAAAGCATGGGGACTAGTAATAAATATGTGGGATTAAAATACCACCAGTTTGGTTTAGCGATGTTTTACTGAGGACAGCCCATTTCGGGTAGAAAATAGCATGCACTGAGTACCTTTATGGCGACCAGATTTGAAGGAAGCTAAGTGCAGGGTAGTGATGACCTATTCCAAGGTGATAGCCATGGAAAGAGGTAAGAAGAGCCTGAACTCTTGGATCCCAGCTGCTCCTGTCTACTGGCACAGCACTGTACTTGAAGTCAGCAGATGTAGCATCCTGGTTCTGACCCACTGTGGGATCTTGGAAAAACTTGTCTGACTTGTTTGAATGTCAGTGACCTCATTCAAAGACATGGTACTGATACCTACCTCTCAGGTTATGTGTCATGAACGAAAGTGTGGTAACAAATGTGAAAACACATTGTCAACTGTAAAGGGTGCTATAGAAATGTAAGACAGAATGAGCACAGTGGCCACTTGTTACCTACTGAAATGTTGAGGACACTTTTTTAAAATCTGAAGGACTATAAAATGGGAAAGTTAGAGCGGGCACGGGGATTTCTCCCTTGGACTATGTTGAGTGTCGGTAG